TCATTTTATAAAAATTCTCCTTAAGATTATAACATAATGTAAATTTCAATCCTTTCAACCATATATTTTCCCATTGTTCCATTTGTAGATAGACATCTAAGATAATTTCTAATGAAAGTCACCCTGTACAAATTAGCCGAACCTTCAAAGAAAAATTAGCCTACATTACTGGAGATGTACAATTTTTTAAATATACTATTTGTAAACATACATTTAACAACTTTATGCTTTCATCAGGTAGCTTATTTTACTCAATAAATAAATGAACAATATGTTTTTGACTCATTTGTTCAATTGGGTTCTCTTTTTAGGACTTGTGTGGAGAACACATCACATTTAGGTCACATTTATGCAGCAATATTGAAAATTCAAAAGGGTTAACAAACTTTTAACCACTGTAAATTGATATTAAAATATGATACAGAGACTGAACAAGTAAAAAACTGCATAATAAAATGGGTACAAAACTTTAAAGAAACAAATACGCAACAACAATAGGAAGAATTATGGAAAAAAATCAATAAAATTTACTCCAAGTTATAATTTAAGGGAAAATTGGTATAAATATTTTCAGGTGGTATATGATTCCATCAATAATCATAAAAATAGGTAAAACATACAATATAAAAAGTTGGAAATGTCATGATAAAGAGGGAACATTCTATCATATGTGGTGGTTATGAAAAAAAATAAAAACCCTCAAAAGTACTGGAAAGAAATACATAATATTATTTTTTTAAAAAGTAAAATTTGAACTGAAACTTCATATATTTCTACTAGGAATTGTTCCGAAACGTATAAAGAAGAAATGTCATAATGTATTAAGGTATATGCTGATGGCTACAAGGATAAATTTGGCACAATGCTGAAGAAGAGACACTATTGCCAGCAACATTAGACCTGGAGAATATGCAGCACTGGCAAAATTATATTCATAACAGAAGCTTAACTAAATTTAAGTAAGAATGACTCCCTTATATATCATATATTATGCAGCAAGGCAAACTTAGAGTATGGGTTCTAGTAAAAAAAAATACATGAAAGGACTTAACTAGATTTCTACAGATGAATCTTTGGCTTCTTTGACTCTGCTTGGTAATTTTTATTCAACCTGGAAAAAGTGCATTGACGTAGACTTCAGGTAGCTTTGCGTCTTAGCACATTATGTAATCTCTCTAGGCTGGAGGGAACTAATGTATACTTGACATTGACCTTCATTGGGACTACAGTATCCCCCATTAGGAGTCTCCACCCACATATTATTTATTCTACCTATCTAATGAATTTAAGTGTGCTACACCAAAGAGCCCTTTCCCTGGCAAGACGTAACTCCTTTTCTTCTAGGAGAGGTCAGATATAATAACATCCCAATATATGAATGGATATGCCCCTGCCAAATGGGGGTTATCAAATCTGTTGGCTGTTTCACTTTATTGTCCCTTCTACATATGTATGTGTGCACATCTGATAGTTCCTGGTAAGGAACTTAACTAAGTTATGGTCTAATAAAGAGAAAACTCAAATTTCCTTTAGCTAACATGGTTCCTGAAACAGCCAGATTTTACACAATTGCTATTTCTATTAGGAGATTAAAAACTTAGAACCTTTAAAATAATGCATTTAATACATTTAAGTTTATCCTTCCTATGCCATATATAAGACTAGGCAAACTTAAAACTTGAGGTGGATTGGAGAGTGCTTACATTGCTGAAGGTTTGTTTGTTTGAGGGTTTCTGAAGAAGTTGCTAAAGAGAGTTTTGAGGCATGAACCAGAGAAGAGCACTGAAGACCCAAAGAAGATGTGTCAAGGCATATTGCCTATTCCGCACAGATGATCACCCAGGGACTGAAGATGAAACTTCAATGGTCTTATCACTTAAGAGAAAAATCATCTATCACCTCAAAAGGGAAAATTGATACCAATCTCTGTAAACACTTCTTTACATTAATCATAATCTGGAAATATTTATGCTTAAAGTTGCTTTAGGATGAAGTCCTGAGTACAGGAAAAAAATTATCTTACAATTTAAAAGGTAAATATTTTTGTTTGGGAGGAGGGAGAAACCAGCAAATAGAACAAATCGTTACCTTTGCCAAGTGAGAGTAAGAAAACAAATTTTTGGTCTGCTTTAATATGTCAAATATTTAATATGTTTAAAATGTTTAGTATGTTAGAAGAATCCTCCACTGAATTGTTAATCAAATCCTGAGCATATATATGACTCCCCAATCACAACATAATGCTTTCATTTGTGCTTGACATGCTTAATTGTCTTTAAACTTGTGACACCCACATCTTACTATCTATTTCAAAATGTGAAGCTGCACTGACAGCCAACAGTTTAGGTTCACAGCACTGGAAGGTGTTTAGGAGCAATCACATCAATGGCTACCATCTCATAATTCTTTGACAGGACAAGGCCTCAATAGGATCACTGGCCCTGCCAGCTAGAAAAACCACAGGGCATTCAAGAATCATCCAGATTTCAAAAGTCTCTGGAAAGAATAATTCTAAATGATATTCTACCCTCCCAAGAAAGGTCTGTTATACCAATATAAATTCCACAAGAAAATGATCTGTCTGTCATAAAGGGGACTTATATTCCACACCCAGACCCCTTTTTCTCTGTCCATTGCAAAAACCAAGTCAAAAATGTGACCAGCCATGTTTCAAGCCAATGGTAAATTGAAAGAGCTCTATGGTGGGAGAACTCAGCATGAATTTGAAGTCTCTTAAAACCAACTACCTAAGGTTTCCCAATCTGATCTCTGAGATCACTTCAATCAGGGAGGTCACTGAGGAGCACGATGAATGATATATCAACAGGTATATGCCTTCAAAACTGGGGCTAGACCAGAAATATTTCCTGGCATCGCTACAGATAACAAGAACACAGACCCTATGGCCACCCAGCATAGATTTGTGCTGGACCAAATACCCACATGGGGAGAGCTGAATAAAATCAATTACACTAAGCCCATTTACCCAAGTCACCGGGGTAGCCATCTCAATTGCAACCAAGCTATTAGAAATCCAACCTGGCATTTAAAAACAGCATCACAAAACCAGAAGGTAGACTGGCCTATCCATCTAAAATTTTGCAAGATGGAAGAAGACTCAATATAAAGAATAGCTTTCAAGCATGTAGTTTTCCTTATCTGACAAAAACCTCCCCAGCTTCATACTTCCCCCTGTATATTAGGGGCACCCTGTTCTCTCTCTACTCTCCCTCAAGACCACAGAAGAAGAAGCAACAGCAGCCACAGCCATACACATAAAAGTTACATGCTCTGCTAAAACATATAATAAACAAACAACAGCACATATACAAATACAAGACATAAAGACCAGAATAACTTTCCCTTAACATCCTTCAACAGCTCCACAAAGGGCAATATCCTTTTGGTATCAACTCTTCAGACACAGATCATACACCCAGGCCTTGAATCCTTTATAGCTCTGGCTTGGGGGAGAATGCATGAATCAGAAAAAAATGTTTTTGCTTTGTACCTGGAGCAAAACCTATTCTAGAAGTTCTGCCAAATAGTTTTCGATCATCAGAATTTGGCAACGCCACCTCTTTGGTGTTTTAGAGTAATCAAAGTCTGGACAAAGCAAGTACAAAGCAAAGGGAGGGAATGACGTTATCCCTTGATTCCCTCCCTTGTCACAGCAGCTCCCATCATAGCATAACTTACCAGTCTGAGCTTCCAAGCTCCTTCTCTCTCTCCCTTCAGTTGCCCCCCCAGAGCAGCATATCCCACAGCCGAACTGGCCCCCAATCTCCTGTGTTTTCCTTCTCAGCTGCTGCCATCAATGTCCTTGGCCCCTTTTTTCCTGCTCTCCATCCCCAAAGTACTTCTGCCAGGAACATATTTTGATCAGGCACAGACTACCCAAAGCCACCTCATCTGTGCCCATACAAGCATTTTGGTGTTCTTTTTCCCATAAACCAATTTTCACTTTAGCAAAATTGCACTCTATAGATATTACCTTCTCACTCTTTAATGTCAAATAGTCTACCCTAAGTTTCCCATCAGAACTGGGAGCAACTGCTACAGACTTGAAAGTTTTGGTGCTGTGCTTCAACCTTCACCAAAGAATGATTCTATTACATCTCTAACACTATTCAGATAAATAGAAAGATGAAAGAAATTAGAAACTGCAGAAAGAAATTAGAAACCACAGAAAGAAGTAGAGAAAACTGCAGTTTAGAACTATTAGCTCAGCTAGGTTGGTCCATCTTTCCTCTACTTACCATCACCCTGTCCACCTTGCTTGGTATTAGCCCAGGATTTGACAACAGGAGGTGTTTCTGGAGGAGCAGGAACTGCAGGTTTTGGCTGCACCTGTGGCACTTCTGCCTGTCTAAAAGCAAGAGAAATTTGAAGATACTTGAGAGCAAAAGTGGCTAACATAATGATTGCAAAACCATGTTTTAACAAAGAATTCAAATTTTCAAATCATTAAAGAAAGCTTCTATTATAAGAGCAGAATAACAACAACTTGGGGAAGTTTAGGCACATTTCTGAATGCAGCTCCTATGGTCAATACTTCTCTTAATATAATTTCTATGAACATCTTATTTCAGCAGCTTTGATATAAAATAAAAGGGAAAAACTTCAGGAAAGCTTATCAGGATTTGCATGAAATAGTTTGTATCATATAAAAACATTTTTTAAAACATCAAATCTGTTTCTTAGCACACAGGGAGGTAATATCTAATCTCAGTTTGCACTCATTTATTTTTTCACAGTGGAAGTGAACAAACAATCTTACATTCTTCATTATAGAGGCAAAGCAAAGAGAAGCAGATGATCTGATGCTGCCACCAAGATCTAGGAAAATAAGTTTAATCAAGAATGAGATACTCCTGAATGGGCTCCATATCACTGCCTCAGAAGATAAGGTCCTTCTCTTATATCTGTCCAATCTAGTCTTCGTTTACAAAAATTACTGATGAAGCATCTTTTATAAATACCTATTTGGTATGACAGGGCTTCTCTGTTCCCACTCATCATCCCCCCTGTATTAGCAGGCTGAGCAGTTCCAGCTCTTTTATATGCAGACAACATCGTGATTATATCTATCTCTCAAATGGGGATGAGAAGGGAACTGAGGGATTTGGTTTCTTTTTACTCAGAGGAAATACTTGCAATAATTTATCAGAAAACTAAAGTCCTAGTATTTGTATGAAATTCTTATTCTTATTAATTAATAATAATTTATTGTTATGAACTAATAATTAATTCATAATGGGCCTTGTGAAGGGCCAGCAGCTGCCTCAGCCAGGCGTGCCTTGCCAGCAGCGGTTGGAAGAAGACCGTGAAGGTCAGCTGGGGGTGGTGGAGGACAGCAGGGATAGGCAGCAGCAGCAGAGTGCAGGGCAGCCGAAAGGGCAGAGTTGGGAGAGAGATAGGCAGGTGGGGAATTAAAGTGCATGCTGTGGTCATAAATGTGTGTGGGCTGCCAAGCACCCAAATTTCTATCATGTGACTGTGGGGACACTGCAACTTCAAGGACCAGTCGTAACTACCATTCATTCAGTGCTGTGGTAACTTCGAATGGTCGCTGAATGAATGGTTGTTAAGCAAGGACTACCTGTAGCGTTCTATAACACTCCTGCAGCATATGCTAAAACATTACATTCAAAACAGGAAGGATGATTTGTAGTGCAACTGTAACTTACTTTTCTTCCTCATGGTGTTCTTGTTTAGAAGCCCAACCTGTGCCATCCTTAGGCACAATGTTTATATTAGGATCATTTCCTTTGTTTTCTGCTTTAAGACTGGGGAGGTTAGCTGGAGGAGGCATTCTCCGTGAAATGGCAACTTTCCCAAGACTCTGTAATCCATGACGAGTTGTAACTATGTAAGAAAAACATTTTGAACTGTAATATACATTCATATCTCCACTCACCCTTCTTTTGTCTTGAAAAAATTATCATTCCTGGCAAAATACTATTAAAAATTATCCCTGTCACTGAAAAACTAGGAGTAAATGTACTGTCCTCATGTACCTGCAAATGATAGAGAAAATATAGCCCTCTGTTTCCAAATTAATATAGGGACAAATGAATATAGCACTTTAAATAGATAGTGCAAACTGAGCATCTACATTCTTATTTATTCTTATTCGTTATTCTTTTTATTCTTTTAATTTTATTATATTATTTATTTGTTATTCTTCTGTAGTCTGCCTTATTTAAAAAAACATTAAACAATACAAAGAATCACTAAAGTCTAATATTAAGTCATAAGATTCATACAGCAAACTTTGTTTCCTAAATCAAGTATATATTAGGTCTATTTTTATTTATTGTTCTCTTTTATAGAACAGCAATTATGAAAGGACATTTCTTTTTTCCTTCTTTGCTCTGCTTATAGAACTTGTATTCACTGCGAATTTGCTGCTCAAGTACACAGATATGTATTATGGGTGTTATCTGCTTTTTCATTAAAAATATCCATAACAATGAACAGCGTAATAAAATAAAACCTACACAAATCAATCACAAATGTATAAGGGATAGCAGATGAAATTCATGGATTAAATGCCAGATTGACTGCCCACTAAAAGACAAAAGACTCAGCATACCAGTAACCTACATATAACCTTTCCAGAAGACTTTGGAGAGATGATCTTAAATGATTTAAAAATATCTAAATAGTGGCCATAAGTCCGACATTGCCATGTGTATAGATTAGGAAATGTAACAATTGCAAAATTGAAAATCTGTAGTTAAACAAAATGCTTTAGCTCTGATATTCCTGCCCAAAACAAAATGACAACCAACTGCATAAAACCTAGTAAATGAGTATGAAATGTTCAGTTTTAACAAACATACCTGTAGTTTTCTGTGTTTCCAGAGTCTTTCCCTTATATGTGTTGAACAAACTAAGTGTTGCATACTTTGTTTTCCCGTCCTTTGCTTTTGTGCTCTGGCTTGACTTCTCCGACATTTCAGTTCATTGAGTCTGGAATCTCCTTGCTCACCCCCTAAAAGTAAAAGTAAATTGGCTAGTCAAAACAACTTAAAAAAAGACTCATCCATGCAACAAATGTAATTATACATTTTGTTGTATGCCGCCCAGAGTTGCCTGTGGTGAGATGGGCGGCTATATAAATAGATTTACTAACTCAATCAATCAATCAATCAATCAATCAATCAATCATCACAAGAATTGGGATATCCAGAATATGGTATAACTGCTCCACAAAAACTTCACTGTAGCACTTCCAATATGAGCTTTTTATTACTCAGCTGAGGTGATAGCTAAGTTTTAGATCCATATTTCC